GGGCCCGAAAGAAGGATTGAACGACGATGCAGAACGAAGGAACGAAACGATGTGGATGACAGCGGCACGACTTGATTGAGTGTTTTGGCGGATTTTTCCTTCAACCCACAGCCCCTGTCGCACTATATACCACTGGATGGTTGTGCTTTTCATTTGCATTCTGCATTGGGACGGCGTTCACATACCGGGCCCAAAGGGCCACGGTGGGATTGGTGTTGAAGACTTTGGATCTAATTTCTTTTTCTCTTGCACGATTTAGAGGCAAGCAAATGGGTTGCATGGTACGGCTTGGCTATTCACGAAGAAACGGAGTCTATAGGACCCAGCCTTACTTGGCTGGTGTCAAGACAAAAGCATCAGCTTGGATACAGATGCTGAACATCGATAAAAAATTTCAATAGAGGAAGATCTTCCCTTCAACCATGACTCCGCTGCTGGTGACATTTTGGGGCGCATGCTATTGCCGGACGCATGAAAAGGGGGGCACGGCATGTCAGCCGAGGCACACGTTCTGGGTTCATCGTCTTCGAGCTACCACAGTTGGCGGCGGTTTCAGGCATGTGGCTTACCGCCTGCAACAGCCTGGCAGCCTGACAGCCACTCGATGGACCCACTCTGGAGTTAGCCTCTTCACAAGGCTTCGCTCGGCGCAAGGGCGATGTCTTCGCCCTCCCCACCGCAGCCAATGACCATTGCAGCATACAAGCCTTCGCGAAGGGTCTGCGACCGACAGCATCATGCAGGTGCAGAAGGCTAGGAAAATCTCTTCCGCACAACGGGGCATAGCCACTCCGCTCGCTCGCCTATCCATGCCCTGCTTGCACCTGCTTCTTCCTCGTGCCGGTTTATTTTTTTTTCATCGATCCCCGTGAGGCTGCAACGTGCTCCGCAATTTTTTTTCGGTTCGTTGTCGTTGGAGGAGAAGGAGGAGGAGTCATCGCCATGTCACCTCCCTCCCTCACTCACCAACCTTTTTTGCAATCCCACGGATCGGCACGCAGCGCCCAGTCCAGCCCACCCCGGGCAGGGCTACCGGTCAGCATTTCTCATGCGCATCCTTGCACACGCGCAAGCAACGGTTACAGTAGCGTAGCAGCAGCGGGCGGGCGCACACGTCCCCTATCTAGATTTATTGTTGTTCATCTCTTTGTCTTGCACACGCTCACACCTTCCTAGCATGTGTGGTGTAACCGCGGTTCTGCCTTCTTCCCTTTATTCCCGGCGCCTTTTACTACTGCCACCCTACCCAAGTTCATCATCCCATGCACCCGGCAACTATATTTAGGCGAGGGACGCCTGCTCATTGAATTTTTTTCCTTTCCAGCCTCTTGCTTTTATCGTTCTTGTTGTAAGGTGCGGTTACACACACACCGTAGAATGACGCACTGCAGAAGTTCCGCCCCCATCCGAGCTGTATGTACGAAACCGTGCGAGAAGGAGAAGCGCAAGGTTTCGTATGGGTACGGGGTTGATGGGTTGCACGGAAAGGATGCAAGCCACGGTAGTGCGTGGGAGGGGGCGACAAGTAACAAGAAAAGGGTTAAGCGTCGTCGCGCCTAGCAGTGGTGCTGCTCTTGTCAGCATGCATGGACAGATGATGACTACAGTGGTGATGGCAAGTTCATCGTGCCCTGCCGGAGAGCATGATTACGTATGTTTGTTTGTTTGCTGTTGTGGTTGTTGTTGTTGTCATCGTCGTCGTCGTCGATGCGGTCAATCCAATATCATAACGAACCGGGGATGGCTGGCCGCCCGGTGGGTTCCTTCTTCGCTAGTCAGGTCGACACGCAGGGCATGGGCTCACGTGTTGATGATGAGAATGACGATGGCGTTCACCAAAAGTCGGAGGGAAAAGGCGGTCAGGTTGGTGGCATGCGATGTAGCGGCCTGACCCGTAGGAAAAAAAAACCGTTGCAGCGTTCCTCCTTGTTCTTTTTGCCCGCCTCTGTTGTTTGTGTAGAGGGATGACTGCAGTCCGTACGGTTGCTGACGATCAGTGCATGCCGCGTTCCGGAATCCTTCCCCGTGCGTGTCCGCTTGCGGACGTGGCTGCGAGCTGAGGCCTTTTTCGGCCATGACCCGCTGATACGTTAATGCAGGCGTCGTCTGCTGTGCCAACAAACAAGCAGTCATGATTACGGCCATGATTATGTCGACGACGATGGTGCTGATGATGATGATGATCACTGGGCCGCTGCGGAAATTACGGCTTTGCGCTGACTGGCGCGCGCTCTGGCGGCACAGAGAGCGGGCATCGCTTCGACGATCTCGTCGTCCCCGCTCGTTGGTGTTGGCTGAGATGATGAGGATGAAGCGGTCGCGCGTTGGCGTTGGACGGCGTCGCTTTGGCTTGTTTGAGGACCAAGCGCGCGCGTGGAGCTACTCGCGAGCGCACGCACTCGGTTGTCTGTGGCACGGCCGGCATTCGTACTGTGGTACGTCCGAGCTGTGGGGGAAAGGATCCGGAAGGATTCCAGATGGGAAGGCTGTGCAAGCCACTGCTAGTTATTAGCTGGTGATTGACGTGGCGCCTGAGGCAGTCATTCAGGGTCTATCTTGTCCGGCCTAAGTTCGGACAGCCCTACGGCATTTCCAGGATAGGAAGGTGGGGCGCGGCAAGGTCTTGCCGTGTCACTTCAGCACAGTGTCTTGAGCCTGTCCGCCTGGTGCTATCTCTACGACGGTTGTTTCGCTCATCCGCCTCAGGCCATGGTTACCTGCTGCTTATGCGCGCGAGATAGGCAACGACTTTAGCCGCTCCGAGCACGCAACGCTGCCCCGCCTTTGACTCACAACGTCACACCCATTGCAACCAGCATTCCAACCTCACAGTTGTGAAACCTCTACAGCACTAGAAGCTCGTCTAGCTTGGCTTCAATCGACATATATAGGCGTACTCAGTTCGATTTTTCTACCTACAGTGATCTGTTAACGGTAAGTGTGATGCTTCGTTTCTCTACCACCACCATCCCCAGCATGATACAGTCATGAAGTGAAGCACCATGTCTGTTATCGGAACAATTGCAGCGGGCCTTTACGGGCCCGAGGAGTCATAAGACTCAAATAGCTTTTCAATAATAACTGCACTCACTCTTCACGATTCTATAAAGCTGACGCCGGCCCTGTAAATTAGGATTCCCTCATTTTTCTTCGCCAAAACTTTCCATCGGGTCGAAAATGGTAGACCCAAGCGGCTTCAGTGTCCGGCCACCAAAAGGCCCCGAGGAGGTAAAGTCCCTCTGGTGGCCATGGATGCAATCGCTAGGCTGGGTAAGTACCAATTCCACCCACAACCACTTACTATCCCACTCAAAACACACCCCCCCTCGTACAAACCCAACCCTCCACAACCCCCTCTAAACTCTCCCGTCTCTCCTCCCAGAACCGCGCCGAAGAAGACTTCACCACCCACTGGCACTCCTCCGGCGGCAACTACATCGTCCTCACCCACAAAGACCCTTCCTCCCCCTCTTCTTCCTCTTCCCCCTCCCCACCCGAAAACGCCATCGACCAAGCAAAACCAAAACCAAAAGCAAAACCCGTCGGCATCATCCTCCCCCTCGCCTACCCCAACAACACCGGCTGGCTCGGCTTCTTCGTCGTCGACGCCGCGTACCGCGGCACCGGCGCCGGCGGCGGCCTCCTCTTCCGCGCCGCGCTCGACGACCTCGCGCGCCGCGGCGCCCGCCGCGTCGGCCTCGACGGCGTGCGCGAGCAGGTCGCCACGTACGGCCGCCGCGGGTTCGTCGAGCGCGGCCGCGTGAAGCTGATGCAGGTGCGGGCGCAGGCGCAGGCGACGTCGGGGGAGGTGGGGGAGTTGGCGGCGGTGCAGCAGGAGGACGAGGAGGAGGACTTGGGTGGGATGGCGGCGGCGGTGGTCGTTAAGACTTTGGATGAGGTGCGGCCGCCGGCGCTGGTGGCGGCGGATGAGCGGGTGACGGGGTTGCGGAGGACGGGGCTGTGGACGGAGGAGCTGTTGGCGGGGCGGGGCGATGCGTGGGGGTTTGCGGCGGTGGTGGGGGGCGAAGAGAGCGGTGGCGGTGGCGGTGGCGATGGGAGGGGAGGGGATGAGCGTGTGCTGGGCTTCGTGCTTGTGAGGTCCTGCCAGCATGGATACCGCGTGGGTCCGCTGTATGCGCCGTCGCGCGGCTGGGCGAGAGCACTGCTCCTGCGGGCCATGCAGAAGATCGAGAGCTTCGGTGCCGCGGCCGCGGGGAAGTCGCTGGTCGCTGAGGTGTGGGGTGAGAATCCCGTGGCCGTTGAGACGTTCGAAGGGCTGGGTTGGGAGTATAGTGGGATGGACTACTCGCGCATGTGGCTGAACGGGGAGGAGACGGAGGCGCAGAAGAAAGGCGGGTTGGCGGAGAAGGAAGTGTTTGCTTGGTTCGATGCTGGGGAGGGCTGAACGCAAGTGCTCTCCTCTCTCGTACACGCCTAGATATTCAGTGACGATCTCCCCTTTTCAGACTTTTCTGGACCTTTGTTGGAAGTGGAAGTCCATATTTGATTGAAACTATCCATTCCCATTACTTCATTATCGAGACAGAACAGACCATATTACATAAAAACGCGCTATTACTAGGCGGTCTCTCTGCCAGTCCCAGCCTTGTACCTCGCCAACGTCCTTTCCCGACAGACCTTATGGTCTACAATAGGCTTCGGGTATCCATTCTTTTTCGCTACGTCCTCCGCTCCTCTGCCGTACGGGTCATGGATGGCCTTGCCCTTCACATCCCTCAACTCAGGAAGCCATTTCCTGATGTACTCGCCGTCCGGATCGAACTTCTCGCTCTGCAGCAGGGGGTTGAAGATGCGGAAGTACGGCTGGGGATCGACGCCGACGGAGGCGGAGAAGCCCCAGCCGCCGTTGTTGCTGGCGAAGTCGCCGTCGATGAGGTGCTCCATGAAGTAACGCTCGCCCATGCGCCAGTCGATGAGCAGGTCCTTCGAAAGGAAGGAGGCGACGATCATGCGGCAGCGGTTATGCATGTAGCCCATTTGGTTGATCTGGCGCATGGCGGCGTCGACGATGGGAAAGCCCGTGTGCCCGCTGCACCAGGCGGAAAAGTGATCGTCGTTGTACTCCCACTCGACGTTGGTGTACTCGTACTTGAAAGGCTTGAACATGCTGCATCACTGTCAGCCCATGCCGTCCTGCCTCTTGGCTCGGGAGTGCACCTTACCAGATGTACGGGCAATGTGCTAGCACATGTTTGTAGAAGTCTCTCCATGCTACTTCGCTGATCCAACCCGCTATGCCGGCATTTCCGCCGTCTAGCTTCTTCGTAGTATTCGCTTCCCTTGCCAGCCGCACACTTGTTCGTGCCGCCAGCGTGCCGGCCGAGTGATGCACGCTTAGCATAGCAGTGCTGTTTGCCGCGGGGAGGTTGCGCGCATCCTTGTACTTGGTGATCTTCTGCCCGAGAAATTTCTCCAGCCGCTCTCGCGCCTCGTGCTCGCCGGCCGGCCACAGAGAGGCCAATCGCTTCTTCGTCTCCGGATCCAGTCGTTTGTTCTCTGGCGAGTCGGGGATCTTCGATTCGAAGATGTCCTTGAATTTCTTGCGGGCGCCTTCGGGGTTCTTCTCCGGCTTGGGATGCTCATCGAGAAGGTCGGGATGCTTGTGGACATGGGCGAGCCACGAGCGGAACCACGGGCTGTAGACGGCGTATTGCTTCCCTTGGCCGGTTTGGAGGGCGCCTGGCGGGACAACGACGTCGTCGTGCACGACGGTGAAGTCGATGCCAGCGTCCAGGCACTTTTTGGTCAGCCGCGCCTCGCGCCGCAGCTCGTCTACCTCGTACTCCATGTTGCAGAAGACGTGCTTCGCACCCCATTCATTGCACTTGCCCAGCAGGTACGGCATCACGTCCTTGCGCTTCTCGACGGTCTCGACCAGCAGTGGGACGTCCAGCTCCGCCAGGTCCTCCTTCAGCACGGCCAGGGTGCGCAGCTCAAAGTCGACCCGCGGGGCGCCGGTGAAGTGGGCCTGGTAGTCCTGCGGCGACACGACGAAGATGCAGATGAGAGGGGCGCCGCCCTCTTTTGCCTTCTTTGCCGCCAGACTCAGCGCTTTGTTGTCAGAGATTCGCAGGTCCCGCTTGAACCAATGAACGACGGCGTCCCCAAGTTTTATTTTGGCGCGCCGTTCCGCAGTGTCGGCAACGGCCTTCTCGAGCACCTCGATCGGCCGGGGGATCTCATTGTTGTTGTACTGCTCGCACCGCTCGTTGGACATTTCGGCCGGGTAGTAGTCGCGCTGGACGATACCCAGGCGCTCTTCAATGCGCGAATGGTCGAAGTGTTTCTTGGTGCCATTGGTGGACTTGGATTCCTCTGGGCGGGCACTAGAGGAGCGTTTGACGGCTTTGGGAGCGGGCTGGGATTCGGCGGAGCGCTTGTTGGATGCGTTGCCTGTGGAGTCGGAATATCCGACCGAGGCGGGTGCTGCCTTACGTTTAGCAGGCATGTTGGCCGGTGTAGATGAATGCAGTGCCCTTGTATTCAAGAATCTAGGCTGGTGTCTCGCGCAATGCACGCGTCCCGGGCGGAGAAGTACGCGTGAAAGGACATGCATGGAAGAAGGACAAAGAAACACGCTCCCTGTGGCATGGTCGGTTCAGCCGCAGGCAGGCAGCACTGGCCCCTTTTGTCCAACTGGGCGGTCATTGGCGCATCTGATCCGGAGTGGTGAGATGCGATCTGTGGGCAAGATCGAAGCCAGATCTATCATGACGTCCATCGGGTGTGGCCCGTGCTCGGCCATTCTTCGCTGACATCATCACATCATGAAGGGGAAGCTGTGGCTGTCAGCTGCAGTCTAAACCTCACGGTCCCATGGCTCCCTGCAGCCAAAGCGCTGGGGTGCTTAGACTCTAATAGGTAACGTCGGCCTGAAACTCTAACTCCATCGTTGCTATATCCGGAAGCATTGGCGATATGCTTCAAGGCCTACCTTTATCCGATACTATTACTCCCACTTCTCACAAACACCCCACCCATGCTCGCTGTCGCATCGGCTCACGCCCACACTTCCGATCACTCACCCATGCCATACCACTGTGTCGGGAAGTACCCACAGAACCATCTACAACCCTATTGGCGGAGACAGCCATAGCTAAGATATCATCAGCGGCTCGGTGGCGGGCGGGAAGGCGCTCCCGACCGTTGCATGCACCTACCCGCATCAAGCTGCGCCGCCAAGCCAGTCTCCCCGCTCACTTGACTCCATGGCGCAGGTACATAGCAGACGACGTCGGCCCACCTGAACATCTGCCGGCGCCTATGAATCGGTACTCGCCCGCCTGATCTACTGAGCCACGTCTCGGTCCAATCGTCAACAAGGTATCAGCCAGGAACCGCGTCAAGAGCTGGGGGAGCATTGCTGCAGCAATGGCATCGTCATCGCAAGACTTCGTCAAGCCCTGGAGGCTCCCTGCTCAGAAAACATACATCTTCACCAACGCCAACGTCATCGACCCCGTCGGAGGCACACTTCTACCGGATGCAACAGTCAAGATATCCGGCGGGCTGATCGAATCAGTCTCATCTGACACAGCCCTCTCGGGCGCCGAGGACGCGACCACGGTCGACCTGGCCGGCAGATATATATGCCCCGGCCTGATCGACGCCCACGTCCACGTCGTCGCCGCACCAGGCGAGGCGGACCTAGCCGGGTGCGTCGCCATGGACGCCGCCGTCTCCATGACGCGGCAGCCATTCGTGGCCAAGCAGATGCTGGCGCGCGGCTTCACGACGGCGCGCGACTGCGGCGGGGCGGGGCTGGCGCTCAAGCAGGCCATCGCCGACGGCGTCTTCCCCGGGCCGCGGCTGTTCATCGCCAACCACGCCCTCTCGCAGACGGGCGGGCACGCCGACTTCCGCGGGGCGCACGACCACACGCAATGCTGCGGCGGGCACGTCACCGGGCTGGGCGTGCTGTGTGACGGCGTGCCCGAGTGCATCAAGGCGGCGCGCGAGCAGCTGCGCACCGGAGCCGACTTCATCAAGATCATGTGTGGCGGCGGTGTTGCGTCGCCGACGGACGCGCTCGAGCACACGCAGTTCACGGCCGACGAGGTGCGTGCCGTGGCCGAGGTCGCGCGCGGGTACAACACGTGGGTGACGGCGCATGCGTATACGCCGCGAGCCATCCGGCACGCTGTCGACAACGGCGTCACGGGCATTGAGCACGGCAACTTCATCGACGAGGCGACGGCCGAGTACATGGCGGAGAGAGGGGTGTATCTGACTCCGACGCTGATTGCGTACGACGCCATGGCTCGCCGGAAGGGCTTTCTGCCGCCGGAAAGTCATGTGAAGAACGAGGAGGTGCTGGCCCAGGGCTTACAGGCGCTTGAGATTGCGTCCAAGGCGGGCGTTACCATGTGCTACGGCTCCGACTTGTTGGGCCCGCTGGGGATGGAGCAGGCGGGCGAGTTTGGGTTGCGGGCCAAGGTGCTGAGCGCTGGGCAGGTGTTGCAGAGCGCAACGGTCAACGCGGCGAAGATGTTAAGGCAGGACGGGTTCCTGGGGCAGGTCAAGGCGGGATTCGCAGCCGACATGCTGGTTTTGAATGCGAATCCGTTGGACGACATTCAAGTGCTGGACCGGCCGGCGAAGCACCTGCTGGCAGTCATCAAGGACGGACGCGTGTACTCGAGCAGGTGGTCGAAGTTGGCGGAAGACGTAACGGTAGACGAGGCCTTGATCGAGTGATGGCGTAGGAAACCAGAGAAATCGATTGGAGGGCTCCGCGCTGACGCACCCCGCACTCACTGTTGCCGATCTCGCAGTGGCCCGTGAGCGATGTGCGTCGCAGTCAGATGCTCACCGGTGCTTGCTTTATCTTGCCGACTACTAGCAGTCCTAGCACGTGTTTCTGGCAATTAATTAACGCGGAGTGGACGGGCTGTTCGGTGCAGTGGCTGGCATGCGGCTGGCATGCGGCTCTCGGCTGATGGAAGGCGCCGCCAGGAGCTTGCGGCCAACGAGCATCAAGCATCAGGCATCAAGCCTTTGACAAGCTCGACGGGGTGGAGGACGATGCGGTCGGAAGGGACGGCGCGAAGCCGGGCACAGCAAGGGTGAATGAAGGTCAAGGCGCCACATGATGGCCATCTCCGACGTGCGACGGCCGGAGCGAGCGAGTCAGCGGCTGCCATCCCCGCCGGCCGCAGTTGCTCAAAGCTGCCCAGGCTCCACTTTCCGCCCTCTTGCGTGCTTGCAGCTTTCCTGCACTCTGCGCCCGAGGAAAGGATAGACAGGGCATCTGCACTGATCTCCCCAAATGATTCAATCAGTCTGCTGCTGACTGCTGCGCCGCCACTTTCCTCCTCTCTCGTCCTTTTCCTGGCGCCATCTGCACTGCGCGCGCGCGCGCTGAATCACCATGGCCGAGCACAAGCTGCCCTGGCGACAGTTCGTCATTCTCTGTATGCGCCCACTCTCCCCTGCCCCCTTGCGCGCCCGCGCCGCTGATCGCACTCGCAGCATTATGTCGCTTTGCCGAGCCCATCGCCCTCACGAGCGTGTTTCCTTACTTGCCCGAGATGATCGAGTCCTTCGGCGTGCCCAAGAACGAAATCGCAAAATGGGCCGGCGCCGCCTCCGCCATATTTAGCCTGGGCCAGTGCCTGACGAGCATATTCTGGGGGAGGGCCTCGGACAAGTACGGGCGCAAGAGAATCATCCTGCTGGGTTTGACGAACACTATGCTCACTAGCTTGTTGTGGGGCTTCTCTACCTCGCTGCCTATGGCTCTGACGGCCAGAGCAATACAAGGTGCCGGAAATGGGAATGTGGGAATCCTCAGGACTATGGTGGCCGAGTTGTGCCCGTGGAAAGTGTGTATAGCTTCTCCAAGAATTTTCGACCCCTCTTCTCACAACCTTGATACAATATAGGAACTGCAGCCGAGAGCGTTCAGCATAATGCCGTTAATCTACAACATAGGCAGTGTCTTTGGCCCGGTACGGAATCCACGTTCCTTGTAATCGCTTGTTCGTCTTACTGACATTCCCGATTAGGCAATTGGTGGAGCATTGTCGAATCCGCTCGGCGTTGATGTATCGAAACCCCGTGGCGACTCGTTCTTCGAGAAGTTCCCTTTTGCTCTCCCAAACATCGTCGGCTCCCTGCTTTTCCTCACCGGCATAATCACCGGCATCCTTTTCCTTCATGTGAGTGTTTTCGATTTGCCTGGTTCTACTGCAAAACTGATCCTTCCAAGGAAACGCTGGAAACCAAAAAAGACGAAACAGACTACGGCTTGATACTAGGCGAAAAGCTCGAATCCGCCTTCAACAATCAAATTGTGAGAGCGAAGAATGTGTGGCATAGAGCGAAGGGCGAGGAGACGGAGCCACTGCTCAAGCACGCCGACTCCTCCATGTCAAACCAGGATGGCGACGAGGACCAGACGAATGATGACCCACGCAATCGGGCGGAGCAGAAGCACGTCACGATCCGTGAGGTCCTCACAGTACAGTCCGTGACCAATCTGGTCATATATACTGTTTTGGCCATGCATTCCATCGGCTATGACCAGGTACATGCTATAGCCCTCTTGAGACACTGAATTCCTGCTTACGGTTCCAGCTCCTCCCTGTCTTCATGCACCACCCGGCTCACCCCCGTGATGGCTCATCGTACGACCCCGCCAACCCGCTCAAGTTCTCCAACGGCTTCGGCATCAAGTCCAAGAACATCGGGACCATGTTCACCTTGTATGGTGCGCTCTGCTTCCTCTTTCAGCTGTTTTTCTTCCCGCCGCTCGCTCGGCGTTTCGGTGTCTTGCGCTGCTTCCGCGTCGTGTCACTTATTTTCCCTGTCGTCTTCCTGATCACCCCCTTCACCGCACTGCTTCCAGACCAAACCTCCCAACAGGTCGTCTTGTTCCTGATCATGACGGTCAAGGGTTGCTGCACTACGTTCGCATTCCCCTGCAGCACCATCCTTCTCACAAACAGCGCGTCCTCGCTTCGCGTGCTCGGCACGCTCAACGGCATCGCTACGTCCGTATCTGCCATTGGTAGAGCTTCTGGACCGGCGGTCGGTGGCAGTCTCTTCACTCTCGGCGTCAAACATGGTTACGTCATCGCGCCGTTCTGGATGTTCACTGCCATCTCCCTGATCGGAGCCGTGCCAGCCTTCTTGCTTGTTGAGGGTAAGGGGTTTGGACCTGACGACGAGGACGAGGATGAAGAATCCTCGGGTGATGAGGACAGCGTCGCAGCCAAGGCAGCCGGACGACAGTCTGCAGCCGGAGCGAGGGGTCTCGACGGCGGAGACGAGGAGAACAACGACCGTGTGGGAGATCTACTCAGCCGTACCACAACCTTCTCGTCAATTGCATCCGCTGCCATCAGCGATGAGGACGAGGATGAAGATGGGACCAACGGCTATCCGATCAGCGCAAGCCTGCCGGCGGAGGCGCCGCACCGGCCGCCACGTGTGAGTCGGGCGCCATCGACGGTGAGAAGAAGGACGAGCGTGCCAATTGGTATGGGCGGCAATGGTTTGAGGAGGTACAGTTCGAATCTCGGTGTAACCAGAGATGGGTACGGAACCGGACAAAGCTGGGGCGGCTGATTTCCTACGTCGTGCTGGGCCATTTTCGGGACATACCGTCTTCTCTTTTCATTTCAAATTTGTCATATACATGGGTTCTTGAGGAATGCGCAGATACCCAAGCTGTGCAAAGGAAAGACGGCGTTAAAGAGTTGAATAATTATATTGGTCTAGCCACGGAGGTTAACAGAGATACACATCGTCTAATCACGGACCGCCAATGTTCTAGCATTTCTGCGGACTGCGAGCTCGACACGTGTGATGTATGTTCGAGTATCTGCTAGAGGGCCTGCCCCCGTGGAAGCTCTATCTCGGTCCAACCGACGGCAATGTTGATACGCCGGATTGGACTGGGACGAGACGAAGCAAATCTGGCCCAGCCGATTGCCAGTGACAACGTGGCGGGCCGTAGTTTCAATTGAAGAGAGTATTATGTCCTGGCGTCAGCAACAAATTTTATCCTACGTGCTCGACCACGGCTGTTCCCCATCAGCCGGAGCTGACCGGCGGGATCAGCGCAACCTCATCGCCTTCATTGATCGTCAAGCCGGCATCGCCATCATCCAAGTCGATGTACTGCAGGTTCACGGTCACGGCGCAGCTGTCCAGCACCGCCGCCTTCATGCCCGGGTAAGCGCGTTCCAGCACGTCGAACAGCCGCGACGCCGGCAGCGGGGCCGCGAAGGGCTCGGCGTCCTTCTTGGTGTACGTCGACGCGGCGGCGAAGTAGAGCAGCTTGAAGTGCCCGGCCGGCGGCTTTGCGGACGCCATGGCGCTTCTGTTCGTCTCGTTCTGCGTACTACGAGTTGAAGCCTACCTCATGCGTCAGCAAAGTTGCCACGAGAATGTTCGTGAGAGGCGCGCGACGAAGCGTAAGGTGGGGTTGAGCGTTCAGAAAGTGAAGAAATTGGTCCGCAGAGGTGGCTGCGTGATAGCAGACCTCGGATAATACATGCTATTTTTGTATCTCTTCATGCTAGGGTGTGTTGAGAGCAGGCGGGAGAAGGTGTACGTACCGGATGGCTGGAGTGATGGGCGGGAAGGAGTGGGTGGAGGTGTAAGCCCTGGCGCGAGTTTTGTGCGCGTTTTGCTGGTGCGCACGGACGCCTGCGCGCCCAGCTAAGTGACGGTTGCCGTCGCGACTTTTTGTCCTTCGATTGCGTCTCTATCTCCATCGCCGCCACTCTCCGACCCCCTTCTCCTTCGCCTCGAATGCGGTCGCCCGTTGCTCTTGCCAGGCGCTCGCAGGCCTTGCGCGCCACAGACTTCTCCAATATATGCTGGACTTGCCTCCTCGCTCAGCGCCGACAGCTCTCCAATACCTCGCCCGCGCGGGCGAGGGCGAGGCCACGCGCAGTACGATACCATTTAACTAACGCGCCTCCGAAGCTACGCATCGAGGCAGGAGAAGTGCCGCCGGCCACCAAGCGACCTTCCCAAAAGCCGGCAACGAGCCTTCATCCAACAATCAAAGATTACCACAAAGACGAAGAGCGATTGCTGGCCCAGCTGCTTGACCAGCACCGTTGCCAGGCACGCAGACAGCAAGATGCAATTGACCGCATTGCTCACTTGAGCCCCGGAAACGCGCCGGCGTCTAAGCGGTCCTTTCACACATCGAGCAGAGTGAGCATTCGCCACCCGCAGCCTTCGTCCAGTCTTGGGATGCAATCTGACAAGCTGCTAGCTCAGACAAGAAGCCGCCGCCAGATCTGTGCCCACCCCACAAGACCTCGCCGCTATAATTCCCGACAAACCCGCCACACTTACCACAAGGCAGTACCTGCAGCAATGGCAGGAGCGGTACGGCTCACCGAACCAAGAACTGCTCGACGAACTGGGCATCGAGGCGTACGGGAGCCGCTCAGAGAACCTTGCTCGACTAGATACCCCTAGCGACCTCCGGGACGTCGAAGTGCGGGACGAAGATGCAGAGAATCGCGGCACCGCTGCGTTCCTCGACCCCGCAGATACGGTAGACGAGGAAGTCGGTGACCGAGCGCTGCAAACCGGCGACCTCGTCGAAATAAGGTCCGTCTGTTACTTCTGACCCGCTCCCAACCAATCAACTGACAATCAACCAGCTTCGTTGGCGAACGTGAACCCTTGATTGCCGTCTTCATTGCACAGTATGGCACACAAGGGCAGTTCTACAGCATGCAGGGCCAGTGGTTCCACCGCAAGCTCAGACAGGTCCAGTTCGCTGTGCCCAAATTCATCGATAGAGACCTTCTCCAGCCCATCATCCCCTACCTGCCGAAAGGTGAGGTTACGGAGGAACTTTTGGATACCATGCAGACTTTGGACGTCAATGCCCCTCGTGAAATAGCTGCACCGGTATTGAACAAGCTCAAGGAGTTCGCTGAAGAAGCAGACATTGCCTACCGCCAAAATGCTTCGATCTTGGATCAGGCTCACGAGAAACTCGCTCATCCGACCGACCTCCGATTCGGCACTCTGCACAGGATCGCCAATACCCTCCTCAAAGCCGAGGAGAAAGTTTCAATTACGACAAAGTACGCCGTTCGAAAGGCTCTCCTCCGGCAGCCCCTCGGCTTCAATACCGACAACCGCAGTCATCGCCTGACTGGTGTATATCAAATCCTGCCTATCCAGTTCAAAAAGCAGATCCAGTTAGCTGTAGAGTGGGTTCGCTCGTTCCAGGACCACTTGGCCTGTCGTGCGGCCCAGGAGAAAGATGGCTCAGGAGCAGAGGTCGGCAAATCGCACGAAGCAGCGGAGCTCAAGAAACAGGATAAAGAGCCTGACGGAGCTGCGAAGGTCTGGATGTTCGTACTCAAATGCCAGAAGCTCATAGACCTGAGCCGCACAATGCGCGACTTCACTCCACATGGTCGCGTCGGCATCAGCAAGACCCACTACGAGATCAATGAGTCCACAACCGCCATGCAGGATTTCTACGATGTTCAGTTCGACAAGGCCGATGCCGTCCTCATTCGATTCATCGAAGCATGGTCCATCTCGGCGCTGTTTCACCACAATACCCGCCTGGGCGCCCTTCCACCAATCATTCTGCGGGCACTGGGCAGATATCCAGAACAAGAGTTGGACTTCGTCACCGGGTACACGTTTCTCCAAGAAATAGGCGTGATTCCCCCTCATGAGAACAGGACTAAATACGATCCTCATCTCCTGCTGCCGACAGCTTCGCACTCAAGGCAGTTAGAGGATATGTACACTAGGATAGTAAAAATGGGGTCTACGCGGGAACGCCTGAAGCTCCATGATGCGATGGAGGGCCACCGGACTGATTGGGGCAGCTTGCCGATGTTCTGCGTCGACTCGGCCAGCGCCGAAGAGATCGACGACGGCGTCTCCGTAGAGCGCATCCCCGGTTCTTCGGACTGTTGGGTCCATGTCCACATTGCCAACCCAACTGCTTTCCTTCCCAAGGAACACTTGATATCAAAGATGGCCGCTCACCTGACCGAGAGCATCTACATGCCTGAACGAACTTACTCAATGTTGCCCAAGTGGATAGCCGACGAACGTCTCAGCCTGGACAATGACCGCCCGTGTTTGACAATCAGCACCAGGCTCGATGAACAAGGAAAGGTTGTGGATAACAAAATCCAGTCGGGGTTCATCCGGAACTACGTTCCCCTCACTCCTCAAACACTGCATTTCGTGGTGGACGAACGTGCCGCAAGAGCTGCTGAGGCGAACCCCGATAAGATATATGTCGTTGGCGGAAAGGTGCCATCGCTGCCGCAGCGGAAGATGACGGAAGTTGACGAGTTGACTGAGGATCAAAAGGCAGACCTTCGTCTGCTCCACAAGCTGGCACTGGCCCGTCAGGAACGCAGAACCGAAGCCGGCGGTATCTTCTGGAACCAGAACTATCCTGAGATGAGCGTCTACCATCACCACGAGCACGCCGGCCTTCCATGGTCTCACCCGTCTCGCGAAATAGCCCGTTTCACCAAGGGAGACCCAGTTATTCAGATGGTGGCGACACCGACGGAGTCGTGGTTCCAGCCGGCAGGGACGGGCTCGGACCTAATGGTCCGCGAGATGATGCTTCTCGCGGGTGAGACAGGCGCGCTGTGGTGCCGGCAACGCCGTATCCCTTCCATCTACCGCGGCACCGTTGCGCGACCGGGGATGATGCCGATCGACGAGTATCGGGAAAAGTACATCCTGCCCACGCTGGACGAGCGCGGTAACCCACCGGCCAAGATCGCCTTCAACTACCTCCCGCACGCCGGCTCGTCCGTCACGTCGCTGCGGCCGATAGCGCACCAGGTGCTGGGTGTCCAGCAGTACGTGAAGCTCACGTCGCCGCTGCGCCGCTACGGCGACATGATCATGCACTGGCAGATCGAGTCGGCGCTCCGCCAGGAGGCCGAGCTCGGCAAGAGCCTGGCCAGCCCCGAGATGATGGAGAGGCGCAGGCGCAGGGTCGCCTTCAGCCCCGACGAGATCAGCGTCATCATGGCGCGGCTGGCCCCGCGCGAGCGCCTCATCTCCAAGACGAAGCGCGCGTCGCAAGGGTTCTGGCTGACGCAGCTCTTCTTCCGCGCCTTCTACTACGGCGAGGCCTCCATCCCCGACACGTTCGAGGTCGTCGTCTTCTCGCCCGCCACCGACCTCGGCCGCGTCTCCGTCCTCTGGCAGGACCTCAGCTTCGATCTCGACATGGAACTGCCCCAGGACCAGACCCCCGAGATCGGCGACCGCTGGGAGGTCAGGATCTCCGAGATCGACACGTACAACCGTCGTGTCAAAACGGTGCCGCTGCGCTTGATCAGCAGGGAGGTCCTTCCCGATTGGGTTGGCGATTTGGAGAGGTGATGGGGCGTTTTTGTTGTGTGATGCTGAATGTTGAGTTGTTGAATGAAGGGATGCTGATGGAGAGAGAGACACAACGCCGTGATCGGAGTAAAGGAGGTGAAATAGCAGCTGTATGTACATACATATGGTCCGTGCAGGATTTGTCATGAGAGCGAGGAAGGGTTCATCTTGTGTAGGTATCTCAAAAAAAAAAAACCCCTCTCCCAATCAAGGTAAAAGTAAATTATTAGATTGGTGAGACGAAACAAAACCGAATGGGCCAACACAGATCTGCGGCGCCAGGTCGTTGCCCTCCTCTCTTGTACTCATCTCCACTTTTGAGACTGGAACGTGCTGGGAGAAAATCGCTTGCTCATTTGCAGTAAGCCATGTGTAGGTGGTCGAAAAATAACAAATCAGGCGTGTATTCTGCCATTCTACCGAGTTCCTGTTGCTTTAAACGAAAATCGTGAAAGAAAAAAAAAACCTGTGCGATCCCCACACATTGCAATCCACCTGTCTTGAATGATGTGCCAATGAATGCAGAAGAGAAGCGCCACTTCTAAGTTCCAAACGCCACGCTGAACAATGTACTTAATGCCATGAAGTGAACGATTATGAACCTGGCGGAGGTTGGATTAATCGATGGGGAAGGGAAATCTTGGGTATGTTATGATCGTGGTCAAAAAAGAGAACGATGTTCACGAGCCGCCTAGCACGAAACCGCCCTGGTGTGTGGGACAGGAACCGTCCCCTTTCGTGTCCCACCACTGCCTGATACATGTCTGTTTGCCCCCCCCATTTGTCAGCACGTGTACACTTACAAAAGTGAGCAGGAAAGGAGAGAGGAAAATGGGGAAGTCTCACCCTGTGGAACTTGCAGAAGCACTCCAGCCGGCCCATCTCATCTCCTTCCTTGAAGTCCTCAAAGCATATGATACACTCCTGAGCACTGCCCTCATCATCGATACAGTCCTTCTCCGTTGCTCTGTACCGCAACATCCCCTGAGTATGTCTCCGTCTTCGGGAGCCCTCAGCTATAGGAGGAGTAGGGGTACCGCGTGCGTCGCTTGGAAATGCGGCGTTTGCCGATATGGCAGCATCCACAGCAGCAGAGGGCGTTGAGGTGCGCGATTGGGTGGACGGACCGGCAAAGTTGGCTGAAATGCACTCCTCAACGTGCTGCTCTCTCGCAACAGTACTACCATCTGGATCTTTTGGAGGCAGCTCCTCATGACAAACAGGACACTCATCTTCTTCGGGAATCTGACGACGCGGGGGAGGGCCTGGAGGTCGCATCGAGGGCGGATAGGGTGGAGTTGTTGTGTCAACTACTCTATACCGCGAAGGTTGCGGCGAGTTCGAAGCTAAACTTGGAGACCGGCTAGGGCGCATGTGATTCGCGAAGTGCGAAATTGTCGAATATGACTGCGACTGGTACGGAGGGAAAGGCATACTATCCCCACTCCCGCTGGGCAGCGGAGGCGGAAAGAGATCCGAAACGGTTGTGCGGCCTTGGAAGCTCACGCGGGAGTTACGGAAGGGATCAGTAGAGCGTTGGCTAACGTCACTTAGAGATGGGCGATGATGCGAATATTGCCGTTGCCCGTAGGCCTGGGAACTGTCATAAGTCATGTTCCTGGACCGGCCAGAATGCTGGAGTGGAGAGAATCGCTGCTGGGCGAAATGGTCCTGGAAGCCGCTTGGATCGAAGCTGGGGAACTGTGATGAGGCATGCCGCGGCGGGGGGCTTAAATTTGGGTCGGGAACGCACTGAGAAAAAAAAAGTTAGCATCACTTGTAGACACGTGGCGAAGGATCTAAGCAGCATACGGGGTTGCAAACGCGAACTTCTTCTCCGCCCCCCAGGGCTGGGTTGAAGTAGAGATCAAAACGGGAGCCTGGCCCGCCATCGTCACCGCTCAAATCGACAAGGCCAGCTCTGGGAAGGCTCAGCTCATCCGGCGCGCGCACGATATACTGACGTGGAATGGTGATGCGATGGGGCGAACAGTTGGCGCAGACTACGCGGCCGCATTTCCTGTTGCACATTAATCAGGGCAAACAGACGTGGCAATGCGAACGCGGAGAAAGCCATACCGACAATGGTGTTTCCTGTACCAGAAGCTGAACTGTGTGCCGCAAACCGGGCAGTAAGACACGTCTGTATCAGGCTGCCACGACGGAATCACAAGGTCGCTTCCGCGTCTCTCGACACTACTAGAGCTTCCGTCGGGGCTGAGGGTAAGGTCGATAGCGGTTGCTTGAGAAGAGCCTTCCGCGGCGGCCGGTCGATGGCCGCCTCGCCTCTCAGGGCCCTCGGGTGCGGTGAGGCGCCTCTTCCTATCAGGCGTTGAAGAGTCGGATTGCTGGCTCAGGTTGGCCGCAGCATCGTCCCTCGCCTCAAGCTGGGGTCCAGCAAAGCCTTCAGCGCCATAATCTTGTAGAAAAGCGGTCGTGCTCGGAAATGGAGTCGTAGACGGGGTGGCGCCGTCGCTGTAGCCGCGGTGCAGGGAAGAGGGGTTCGCCGGGGGAGCTGCGGAATCGGCGGAGGAGAGCGAGGCGTGGGGGATGGCGGAGGAGCTAGTGGAATGCGACGGCGGAGGAGGAGCGGGGCTGTCCATGAACGCAAGCTTGCTCGTCGATGAGCAGAGGAGGCGCGGAAGGAGTCAAGTGCGGCGGATTTAGGTGCGGCGGATTACGGGCGTTGCCACGAGGGTTCCATCACAGAGCTCCGCTGGGGTCGGTCGGGCGGGGAGGGTTGCGCGGCACGGCGGTTGATGGCGTGCTGGAAAGAGAATAGTCGGCGTGCGGCGGGGAAGATAGCGCGAGGCCAGAGCGAGCAGCTCGCGTGCACAGTTGCAAACGGGCAGGGTACAGCTGCGGTGAGGGCGGGCGGCGTCGAGCGGGTGGTGGAACTGCGCAGTCATGCGAGGCGATAAGGCAGCTCTTATCGCCCCAGCCAGGAGCAAGTCGTGGCCGCTCTCCGCCTGCCAATCCCGCCTGGGGCACCCCTGGGTGTAGCACTTGATAATACACTTTTACTGCATGAATTACGTCTTTGCTAGTAGGCCATGATTACACCCCGTATGCAGCTGTACCCTCCGCCAACTCCGGTCGCTATGTCCTGTCCCGCCGCCCAAATTTTTTACACTCCGCTCCGCTTGCTGCAAAATAAAAGGTGATGCTCAGAAAAATACACAGAGAATGGGAATTACTCTTCGCTGCGCCTGCTGCTCCGACTCCCCAGCGGCGTGTGGACAAATTCAGCTGCACTCCCCAAGTGCGTCGAGTCGTTGAGGCCTGGTTGGATGTGCTCCGACGTCTTGTGCTGGTGCACGTATCCCGTGCTCAGCGGACGCTCTGCATCTGACACGCTTCTTGCCATTACCCCTCCGCCCGCTGCGCTCTGAGACCCGTCGCCACGGATGCTTGATGCCGCCGATCGCTCAGGCGAAGGTGACGGCTCCGACGACCCGAATGGAAGACGCGGTACCTGGTCTTTCGTTGTCGGTCTTAGATAGTCTCCTGACGCCTGTCCTTGCTCGATTGTCGACAGCCGCGACCCTGCTTGCATAAACGAGCCATCCTGGCTGGAGTTGCGTTTGGAGCTCTTTCTTGGGATGCTTGGCGCTCTCCCTAACGAGCCCACCTTTGACACCTTTGAGCTGGCCTTGGATCCAACTCGACTGGGCAGTTCGATCCCCGCTCCCGTTTCAATAGGCCCCAGCGATGGAGGAACATCCGAAACTCGTTGCCTCCCTGAATCAGACGAATGCCCATCGTCGATGAGGTGTTCCCCCTCGCTGCTCTCCTCCGAATCACGCGACTCTCTTGAGTCGCGTCGAGCCATCTCTATCCCACCTTCCCCAGAGCTGTCCGTTGCCGCTGATTCACGTCGCGCCCCGGCTTGCGTGTCAGGATTGTCTCGATATGGTTCGTGATGAGCTCCAGGGGCGCGCTCATCGTCTTCTTCGAGCGCTAGCAGTTGCGGTGCTCTTGCGCTCCGAACGACCTCGAACCCCTTGCCCTTCTCCTGGCGCTTGCCCCCGAATAGACCCTTCAGCCATCCTCCTGCAGATGATATTGGTCCCATTGGATCCGCAGGGCCCGTCTTGAGCTTGCGGGTTGGTTGGCCTTCGGCCAGAGGTGGCCCCCGGGTCACACCGTAATAGAAATCTGATTCTCTTACGGCATAATCTGCCCGAGGTCTCCGTGGTCCTAGGATTTCGGGATCTGAATCATCCCTATGTGTTCGCAAGTAGGCGGGAGTGATGCTTCCTCGACTCGGAGAGAAAGGTGCTCCTTGTGCGGCTCCTTCGCCTGCATCTGCATGGTCCGTGGGGTCGTCGTAAGGCTTATTGATCAAGTCACTACTACCCCATGACTGCCGGCTGCGAGCACCCGGAACGTATGCCTCGGGTGTTGCTCTCTTCGTCCTTGGCGGCCGGTAGTACGGATCCTGGACGTCCAACCCACGTGAGCCAAAAGTTGGTCTGCGTGAACCTGCTGATGCGCTACCACTGGGCAAGAGTGTGTAGGGGGTTGCAGAACCGCCTGGCGTTCCTGGTTCTGGGCTTGCGCCGCCGTAATTGCTCATTTCTCCACCAGAGCTAAAGCGATCAAAGCCGCTGCTCATTCGGCTGTCCATTCCAGGGTGGCGATTGAGGAGCACGGCAGAACTCGCGGACAAACTCCGTGAACGACTTCCCAGCTTTGACTCCCTGTCTGCCGCGAGCATAGCTGCGTTTGAGTTAATACTGCTTCCTTGTTGGCGACGGTGAGTGCGACGTGACAACTGTCTTTTGCCAAAGACCTTGGTGAGCCCTCCTCTGGCATCACCGGCGCCGGCCAACCTAGCCGTCACTTCAACGATCGTCTGAATAGAGTTCAAGAAAAACCCAAAGACCAGGACAATCGCATGCAGAAAGAGATTGATGTATCCGATCCATCCTTTGGAATCTTCTGACACGCCAAGGTTTGGTACAAACGCCACACTCAAAAGGGTTGTAACGAGCCTGACTACCGAGAAGAATGTGTGGTATGCGTTCATAGATGTTGGAGCCTGGAACGGACGGAATGCGTGGAGGGTCAGAATGTAGATCACTTCGCAGATGGCCAAGATGATGATCTGAGCAATTCCAGAAGGTTGGATGGCACCGATCGCTACACCGCGGATGAAGGCCAGCAAAACCGGTATGAATGCGAACGGCGCGGCATCATCAGAATATGTGTTGTAGAGGGGGCCATACGTCAAGACGGTCGGGAGGTCGTCAAAGAGATGTGCACGTGGCTTGGTCGTGAAAATAAGTCGGAAGATCCACGCTGCAAGTCCCATCACTGCGACCAAGAGAACGACAGCCATCGCTACGACAGATGAGGGCGATCGATCCGCAACAACCAATTGGAAGAACGAGATGGCAATGATCGGCAACAGAAAGAAGTTAAACGTCATGCGGACCACCACGCCTGTGGAGAAGGGGAGATTTTTGCTGCGCAGGTCCTCTTCTTGGATATTCGACAAGTAGCGGTAAGCCCAGCGGAGCATAAAAAATATCTGACACAGTAGCACTGCTCCGACGGTGATGCCCACGTACCAAATGGCCATATTAGCCCAAATGTCCTGGTCTTTCGCGATACCGATCAATTCCGCCAGCCTGGACAAGCCATAAGTCCCGTTGACAACGTACATCCCATCTACGAGGCTGTTGGAGCTGATGTTCCCTGGTGTTACTAGACTCTCGTTGAAAAGAAGCGTCGACCAACTGGCCTTGCTGACAACTGGTTGGTAGAATCCTGGGTAATTGAGGCTGAGGCTTCCGCCGAGGACAATGAATTGGATGTACGCTAAGCAATCTCCGAATCCAGGGGTCACCAGGCGCAGCAGGTCCTCATCACGACCGTAGTTACTTGTCCATCTGAACGGATCGGACGAACCCCAAGGGCTGAATATAGCCGCAAAAACGGTGGCAACACCGGCCATGATCAGGATTACGGCTGGCAAGTAGCGAAGTGCGTTTGAAATGGTACTCCCAAGGTCCGGGGTGATATTGGCCGACACACAAGCCAGATCCGGTGCCCCCTTGTCTCCGGACTGCACACGTACGGTGGTTGCCAAAGTCGTGAAAGCATACGTGCTGAAATACTCGTGGGCCACGGTAAAAGCCGGCAGGCTGTACGGATCCAACCTATCTGCATAGTAGGACGGGCCAATGGGGCAGGAAGCGTTGACCACAGACTCGCAGAAGCGAGAAGGCTGGGCCTGCCAAGGGGTGTACGTCACGACGTTAGTTTTGGCGAAGAGGGTCGAATATTTGTTGTTGGAAGTACTGAGATCCACAATCTTGCCAAAAGTCTCGTTGGGGTTGTTCCAGTACGACTCATTGTTCCAAGCTGGCAAGGTGCCTTGCGTTGCCTGACCCGACACGTTCCCGTAGATTGTTATGTTGAGGTTGTGGCTCTCATCCGTGGAGTTGAAGCGAGCGCTGAAGAAGTAGGGCGTGAATTGAAGTTGTTTTGGAGTACTGTGGATGATGGCAGGGTCGAGGCAGTTCTCGAAGTGGATGAAGGCGGCGCTGGCAGTCGACAGAAACACAGCTAGCACCAGCAGGAGAGACGGAGCAGCGGGCGGTCTCGACCATAGCATCTTCCGTCGCGGGCGGTGGCTTGTGGTCCATGGCGCAGGACCCTGTGGCCGGGAGAGCTCCATGGCAGCGGAGGTCGGGCCTACGCGGCGTCTGACGAGCTCATGATGTGGTTGCGACGGAGAAGCGAGGGGAGCTTCCATCCAAGTGCAGCGCAGCGGGCGGCGTCGACGTCAGCCGTGGTGGCTGCGTAGATCAGACGGCCGGCGATTTGGCGGAGGCAGCGAGGATGCTTGTCAAGACGAAACACCGAGCAGAGCAGGGGCGGCGTGGGCGGAGACACGGCGGCCAGGGGCCGGGTCAGGACTTAGCGACGCGCGGGGAGCGGCGGGCGAAGTGACCATGCCACGGCGAGCGGAGGCGTGAGGTGGCGAGACAGTGTTGCTGGACGAGGGGCGCGGTCGTGGTCGTGGTCCAGGGCGCGTCGGGCGGGCGAGCGAACGAGCGAGCGGAGGGCGAGGTAACGGCGCGGACGACTCAGCGAGCGTGAGGAGGAGCTGGACCAGGCGGCGAGCAGGCGGGCGGCGTCATAAGTCGCGATCCCGGGGGACGAGGGGTGGCAGCAGTAATAATGGACTGGTGCTCCGTGTCGGCAGGGCAGCGCCATTCGCCCACGCTGATCTCGTGCTAGCGCGTCGCGCAGTGGCAGTGCACCCGCTGCTATTTTGGTGTCGCTGCCCTGATTGATGCACACTTGAGACGCTCCGCACACAACATTCTGCAGCCTCCCCGCTCCACGACGAGCCCGCCCGCCCGCTGATTGGCACATTCTTCCGCTGCTGGAGGCCCTCCGTAGATGGCTCCATGGCAAGCTCCCGACCAAGCTGCCCGGCCCGGCACGCGCGACAATCGCAGTCTGCTCCATGAGCGAGCGTTCCTTGCGCCGCTGATCGACTCCACTGCCGGCCGCAGTGCGACCACTTGTCGGTGACCCATTTGCCCGCCCTTCTCCGCCAGCACCGCGTCCCTGCTTCGCTGCCCTCCGCATGTTTATGCCAGAAATTATGGACAGCCTGACGTGTGCTGCCGACAACCGAAACGCATCTGCGAAGCGATACGGCCGCTGGCGCGCCTCGTACCGCCGGCGTGTGGCTGAAAAAAAAAAAAGGTGGCCACTTTGTACTCGATTTCTCACGCTTCTGCCCGTCCTGGACCGACTCGTGCGTTGTCTTCAGTGGCTTGCGTTCCTAGGTATCTTGTGCCAGCGCGCTTCTCCACACGACTCAAATACACGCAGATCTCCGCTGGCGAGGCTCGCCGCATTGCGCAAACGCGGTCGAAGCTCACCCTGCGGCGAGCCCGCGGTGGAGCTACAATCATTTGCGCTGGCCTTCGCTTGTCGCAAGCTGTACTGTGTATAGGGCGGCATCTCTGCACGGCCCTTCGGCCGAGTCGACCTTGTTGTGGCTTCAGCTTCCCGTATCTGCATTCTCTGCCTCAGACTCGGCACGAGCAACCCAGGGGAACAGATAGTGCTCGGCCCAACAGTGGTAAACGACCCGGAGTATTGGCAGGGTGCAGTGGTCAAATAGGTGTTAATAACGACAGGAGCAGGCAATTCGCCGCAGCAGTCGGGCTGATCGTTCACCGTGCAGTGCGCAGGACGCATCCACCATCTGGTGATCACCGGCTTTGGAATCTTCTGGGCGGTAACGGGCCGGTCGTTCCCGCATAGAACCAAAATAGAGTCCCCTGAAGCCTCCGTCACTCTATGATGTTATGGTGTCGCGCGGGGGCAGGATCGGATTAACAGGTGGCAATAATCAAGCGGGCGGACATGTTTATAGGAGACGGCAGAGATGCAATCGGCGCCAAGACAAGGCAAGCCGACACCGGGAAAGCGGCACCAATGGGTGCACGCGATGTGCAACGCCGGAGTCGCCAGGCCGTCCTGGGGACACCGACACGGGGGTACGTCAGCCTTCCGTGTCGAGTCGGCGCTGACACGAGGCGGCGGTGACGCGCTGAGGGAAGGAGAGCACGTGAATGGCGCTTGGTGAGATCAGGAAGCTTGGCCGAGAGAGGACTAGCGCAGCGCAGCCCCAGCCGGCGAAGGTCGGAGAGTGAAATCGCCGACAACGTCGCTCGCCGATGGACCGTCACCAGCCCACAGGCAAACATGTCAGAGCCGCCGCGCATAGATCCCGCCCTCGAGTTCGGCGGCCAGCAGCCTGAGCGCTCCGACCAGGACTTCAAACAACGCCTCCAGGGGCTGCAAGACTCTTTTTACGCCCACAACGCCTTCTACGCGTCCTACCCGCCGCAGGCCCAGACCGCGTCGCAGACGCCCGCCGACTCCGCCGATGCTGCTCTCCAGGCTATCGCGACCGCTGCCCAGGATCGCCGTCCCTCAACTCCAAGCTCTGCCTCTGTCGGCGCTGCCGATCCCAATTCTCAGACGTGCGTGCAGCCTTCGCTTCTCACTGCATTTCGCCAGTTTTTGCCCACTGCGCGCCAACCCACCACCCATGCCTTATTAGCGCAAGCCCGTCGTGGTGCCGCTTCTCACGTCGCGCCCAAGACAATGCCGAACCAATCTCGCTCTCTGACAGTCCTGCAGTGCCCAGACAAAGCTCGGTCCAGATGGCAAACGCCTGCGCGCGTGCGACCACTGCCGCTCACTGAAGGTATGTACATGCATAGCTAAATTCCTATTGTCGAGTCCAAGCTGACACCTCCAGGTGCGCTGTGATCCGCAAGAAGAGAATGGTGTCATTTCAGAAGCAATTCCGTGCAAGCGTTGTCTCAAGTCCAAAAAGGTTTGCGTAACAACCGCACCCACGAAAAAGCGCACCAAAAAGGCCGACACGAGAGTTGCGGAGCTTGAAAAGAAGGTGAACGAACTAACTGCTCGGCTGGGCGATAATCCCGTTGCGTCCTATAATTATGCAACCCATCCACCATTCCCTGACGGTGCTCAAGCCGTCGAGTTTGCGGACTCGACGCGACCCGAGAAGCGCCGCCGGATGAACGACCAGCATGACGCCCTTGTAAGTTCCGCCTGTCGCACGAAAAACCCCCCCAAGCCTTGTGACTCATGGCCGTACAGATGTCCAACGAAGCACGGCGAGAGATCATGTACGATGAGCACGCTGAAATTGCGGCTGCCGCCCATCAAAGGGTTGAAAATCGTCCTCCCCAGTCAGACTACTCGTACATTTCCTACGAGGTCGAGAGGTGCATCAGTCCTGATGTTGCCGAGCGTATCGTGAGCCGTTACATCAATGTCTTGATGCCGGCCTTTCCCGCTGTACTACTTCCGCAGGAAACAACGGCCCAGAATCTCCGGGATGAAAAGCCGTTGTTGTTCCTGTCAGTATCGAGCGCTGCCTCCTTCGGCTGCGATCCTCTCGTCCCAGCAGAGACACAGCGGTATCTGGCAGACCTCCTGCAAAACTGGTTTGCGGAGCTTATCTGGCGTCGACAAGACAAGTCGCTTGAAATTGTTCAAGCCCTGCTGGTGTGCGTGCTCTGGTATCGCCCTCCTGTGGTATATGAGCGCCACGCTTTCTACATGATGACCAACGCTGCCATAACTATGGCTCTTGAGCTAGGTCTTGGGAAGCGAGCCGGCAAGGCTAAAGCCAAACTCGGCCTTGGTCCCTTCCGCAGATGTCTTCCGAATGCAGGAGGAATTGATGCTAGGAGATCATTCATGGTAAGTTGTATGCCGTTGATATGACAGTGTCCAACAAGCTGACCATCACCTTTCTTCTCAAGGTTTGCTACTACTTAGGAACCAAGTGAGGCTCACATCCAACGCTCGAAACAGATTGTGTGCTAATGCCTCACAGCATTTCCATGGTACTTCGGAGACCCATGCTCCTTCGCTGGAACCAATACATGGACGAGTGCATCTCTGAGCTTGAGTCGTCATCGGACGCCGTGCCGTCTGACAAGGTACTCTGCTACCATATCAGACTAGCGGCTATTGCGGAAAATGTCGCGTCACAGTTTTCCATGGATGATCCTGTTGCCAGCGCCAATTTCTCCGAGAAGTACAATGAAATTGCGCTGAGGAACTACGATACAAAACTTGAGTTGCTTCAGCCGCAAAGACCACCGAACGCTAACCAGAGTATGTTTGGCGACTACTTTTTGCTGGCAACGAATACTGACGTGCAACCCAACAGCTGTCCTGAAGTTCTCGGAAAGTGTTGTCAGCCTCTACACCCATGAGGTTGCTATGCACCATACTCAGAATATCGACGATTCCTCGGAAGAGGGGTGTCGAAAATCGTTGGGTGCAGTGCAGACCAGCTCACTCAAAGAATGCGTAAAATCCTGTCACGGGGTTCTCGATAGCTTTCTTTCTCTTGAATTCGACGCGTTTTACGCGCTGCCGCTCATATTCTGTAAGAGTCCCCAGCTCAACGCGGTTACCAAACTGACCAAGATATCAAGCTGTACGGTGCGTGTATTCCACCGTCTGCCTCACAAAGCTTTGGGCAGATGCAACAATTCCGGGCGATCTGGGCAGCGTGATCACGCCTGACTCACTTCGCTTGGAGCACTACTTTGACAATCTCATCCGGCGCTTTCAGCATACTGAAGAGCGTGACCCGCAATCTCCACATACCAAATTCCCGCGCATTCTCTTGCGCCTTCGCGAGAAGTTCAACCGGATGAAGAATGGCGAGACATGCGTGGACGTCTTCTCGGGACAAGCCCCGGCCTCTGCCAGTGGCACTTCAGCGCCAGCTGCGACCAACTCGACAGTGAACGGTGCGCACGAACAGGCCCGTCACGCATTCCCTGCCAACGGAAACAACGTCGCCACGACACAAACTCCGCTCCATCTGCTCTCGGAAGTAGCCCAACAGGCCCAAGCGCCGCCCGCCCAGCAAGGCTATTACGATAACGGCATGGGCGGCCAGGCAATGAACAGCTACAATTGGGACATGGCCGCCTTTGGTGACTTTGATTTCTCCAGCATGGGAATGGGCGTGGATCTGGCCAGTCTTTTTGGCGGCGACGTTGGCGGCGGCGGTCACGAGCCTCAACCGGCTCCGACGCAGCAGTTTGGTCCACCACACCAAGCGGCGCCGGTATATCCCGAACCCGTGTCTTGGAACGCTTAGATATCCCCACTCTTCTTTTCATTTCTTCCCCGAGGCCACGAGAGCAATGAGTTAGGTGGAACGCCCATCGGCCTGGTAGCGGCTTTTCTCGAGCACTAGACTGTTTTCCTAGGAGACTACGTTTTTTAGTCTAATCTAATGCTTCTCGAGAGAATAGGAACATCAGCCGGTAATTTTCCAAAGCCGCACCTTGTAATGATCACCTGTGACAAAGCCCTGTCTGACTCACTCGTCTGACCGGCCGTGCGCATTTCATCATTCTATGTAAGTTGTATTAGTTATTTACCGGCTTAACAACCACACGAACGACGGCCGCAGAACCAACCACCCGTTCGTCTGTCCGTCTTTCTGGGTCTGATGAGCCTAATGATAACTGAAGCTCCCCGGCCTACGCACGCTACTCGCGCCAGCCTCGCCCTTGGCGAGCCTGCTCGCGCCCTCCGGATCGACCCTGCGCAGCGGGCGGTACACGGGATCCCACATCTGCTCCCTGATCCACTCCTCCAGATCGCCGTCGTCCTCGGGGATGTCCTCCTCCTCGTTCAGCCCCTCCTCGACGGCCTTCTTGATGACGGCCTTGGCGATGTGCACGCTGATCTCGCGCACGTCGGTGACGTCGGGCAGCAGGGCGAGGGCGCGCGGCGTGTCCTTGTTCGCGTCCTTGAGGGCGGGGGCCTGGGCGGCGAGGGCGCCGACGGCGGCGACGAGGAGGGACGGCGTCATGAGCCGGGTGCGGCTGAGGACGGCGCCGAGGCCGATGCCCGGGAAGGTGGTGGAGTTGTTGCATTCGGCTGGAGAGGGGGGGGCAACGGGTGGCGGGATGCCACCGTTGTGGTTAGTGAAAATTCGATTGTTGCAACTATCCGCTCGTTACAAGCGGGGCTGAAAGGCAGTACGAGGGGGAGGGGGAAGGGGTAGCCTGCGCGAAAGCTTACCTATCTCGTATTTCTTGCCATCGTATTCGACGGGGTCGAAGGGGCTTCCCGTGGCGATGAGGCACTTGCCCTTTGTCCACTCGAAGAGGTCAGCGGGCTTGGCCTCGTGCAGCTTGGTCGGGTTGCTGAGCGGGAAGATGATGGGCCGGTCCACGTGCTTGGCCATCTCCTCAATGGCCTCCTTGGTGAAGGCGCCCGGCTTGGTGGACGTGCCGATCAGCACGTGGGGCTTGACCTCCTTGATGACGGTCAGCAGGTCGCCGTGGTTCTTGCCCTCCCACTCGGCGTCGTCGCGAGCGTAGCCGACTTGTGCCGGGGTGAGCTCGTCCTTCTTGGACTTCAGGAGGAGTCCTGGCTTGTCGACACACCTGACCGAAGTTAATTGGACTTGTTCCCCCCAACCCCCTGAAAGGGAAAAGAAATATGGAAAACTGATTTGAGGAGCTTGCGTACCATATCTGCGCTCCTGCCTCTTCCACGGATTTCTCGGTCGATACGGCAATGGCGTCCTTGATCTGGTCTGCTATGCCGGTTCCCGCCGTACCAGCACCAAACAGGAGTACTCTCAAATCCTTGTAATCGACGTTGGCAATATGCATAGCAGACATGATGGCAGCGAGCGTAACACAGCCAGTGCCTTGGACGTCGTCATTGAAGCAAGGGATCTCCGGTGTGTACTTATCGAGGATCCGCCGGGCATTGGGTAGGCCAAAGTCCTCCTGTGTCGGATTAGGAGCAGCGAGGAAGCAGCCGAGCTGGAGAGACTTACAAAGTGGATGTAAGCTCTCGGGTACCTTTTACGGGCCGAGGTGATGAACTTGTCGACGAAGGCATCGTACTTCTCCCCGCGCGCTCTTGGCTTACGAAGGCCCAGGTAGAGGTCGTCGTTGAGCAATTCCTCATTCTGTGCACGGTGTCAGAGGCGATGCATGAAGGAGGCCAATGATACTCACGTTGGTTCCGCAGTCCAGAACCACGGGCAGAACGCGGGCAGGGTGGATGCCGGCACAAAGCGTGTAGATGACTAGCTTTGCGATGGAGATGAGGATGCCGCCCACGCCTTGATCACCGATGCCCAGGATCTGGACTCTGTTAGATGGGGGGCGAAGTTAGGTGAAGGCAAGTACCTGTTCGCCGTCGCTCACGACTATCAAGTCGATTTCGTCCGAGGGGCCGAACTGGTCCAGGTCATCAGGGATCCTGTCGGCGTCGTCGATGTTGAGGAAACAGCCTTCGGGACGGCGGAAGAGCCTTGAGTAGTTTGCAATTGCCTCGCCTTCGGTGGGGGTGTAGATGACGCTGAACATCTCTTTCAGGTGGTCTTGGATGAGCTGCAGAGGCGGTGGTGAGCACAATGGCATGGCAAAGGAGGCAGAGTGGGCACATACTCGGTAGTACAAGACCTCGTTCTGTTCCTTCATGCTCGTCATGAAGGTGTTCTTGGCCAGCGGATTGGGGCGGCTGCTGTACTGGTCATAGGCGCGTTTGACCTGGTCCTCGAGAGTCTGGACGTTCTGGGGCAGCAGGCCATGGAGCTTGAAAGCATCGCGCTCTTCCTTGGTGAAAGCAGTGCCTTTGTTGAAATAAGGCGTGTTGAGCAAGGCGGAGCCCTGAGCGAGGGAGAAAGTCAGCATGAAACACTGACGGTGCTGGATGGCGGCGACCTGCAGTCAGAGCGCTGTCCAGAGGTCCGGAAGTGGACAATGGAAGATGGCCAAACTTGGGATGCTTGGAAGCCATATTGGTGGGTGAGGTCGAGTGGAAAGAGCGGGGAGCTCGGGCACGGATGGCGAGGGTCTTGGTTCTGGCAAGCTTGGCGCGGGTGAGGGGCGAGGCGATTGAGCTTTGCATCTGAGAGAAAAGTGGGAGGCGATGTCAAGCCAGCCTGTCGGTCTGGTGTTGAGCAGGTTGTTGCTTGCTGCGCACCTGCAGCGTCGGCGGGACCCGGCCATGACGTCGTGGCCCGCTCATATCTACCTGCCTGCTTAGCGCCCACGACTCAGCAGCCGTGAGCCCGCCGCGACGCCAGACAACCTTATCAGTCAGCAGAGATGAAGCTGCGATCCGGAGCGACCCGCCAGTCCAGGCAAACAAGCTCTGCCCCGCCGTGGCCCGCAGAAAGCTTGGCGAGCAGATGCAGGGCCTGCTGAGTCACCCTTGTCAAGTCCTACGAACCGGTTGCTGCTCTCGCTGGCATCCCCACCCCACACCCTTCAGCATGTCCCGAGCCGCCTCCCCTCAGGACAATGTGCCTCGGTACACTCTCTGCCTAGTGTCGCACTCGAACAGTCCGCCGCTGCGCCCTGAGCCAGCCTTTCAATTCGACCTCCACTCGGTGCCGAACCCTCCCCGCGCAATGCGCCAGGCCATGACAGGCAAGCATCGAGATCTCCAGACAGCGCTGTTGCAAGACACGGCCTTCTGCGCCGAGCTGAACCGCGCATATGGCATCATCAAAGCCGCCATGACTGAATTCGAGCTCAGTCGAAGGCGCCCGCCTCCGCACCGCCCCACAGCTCCATCAACCACCGAGCAGGACCCGGATGTCTTGTTGGTCGGTTGCTTTTGCTCCAAGGGAAAGCATCGCAGCCCAGCATTCGTCGAGTCGCTGGTGGAAACCGAAGAATGGCCCAGTACTTGGCACGTCAAAGCCATCCACCGGGAGCTCGATGACGTGACAGACAAAGACAATCATTATGAGTAGATGACGACGATGGATGGACGCGGGAAGTATGACGCTACCTCGCCATGAGATTTCCTTTAATGCTCAAGACGGCCATCTACGACATGTTTCTCCGCTCAGCTTATGCTCTTGTGTATACTTGTCTATCGCTTCTGAGCGTGGCACAGCCATGCGATGGGACTTGCTTCCTCGTGATATTGCCGCATCCTCAAATGCCAATATCCGGTTCTACCGCGTTGCACAAGGTTGTAAAGGGTCTCCGTGTCGCAGGGTGCTGTGTACCTGTCGAGCCTTGCCTCCCAAGCTCCAAGGTGTACCCTATCCAATGAATCCAAGTCTATGACGACCCGTGTCTCGTATGGGGAGCATGGTCTGAACAACATAAAAAAGCGAGCGTCGCAGCCCCTCACCACTCAGTCCCACTATTGGCTACATACACAGCTACTTATAATGGCCAGGACACGAGGGTACGAGCATAAAGAAAAAGCAACATGTGCCAGGGACCCGAGTTGCATAGTGCTACCCGAAAGCATTTCCGTCGGTTTCCTGTCTCAACCGGCGCACATAGCTGCCGGATGTTGCGAAGAAGCCGGTCAGCACTTTGCATCTCAAGAACGCACGCCTACTGCTGAAAATGAGAGACAACCCCATTTCTTCATACGACTTCGACCATTCCACAATCTCGACTTGCTCTTCGGCAGATGGCCTGTGCGGTTCAGCCACAACTCTTCCGGCTGTTGTTGCATCCAATATTTGCCGGAACAAATAGCTCCGTATTTGAGCTCGCCTCTTTTCTTGGCCATGGAACCCATCGTCCACAGGGGTCCTGGGTAAGCTGACACTCTCCCCGCCGGCCGGTTCAAATCCTCAGGATCCTTCTCCACTAGCACTCGTCATCTTAATTGCGCCACACATATTATGGTCATGTTGGCACTGGAACGTGACTTCCTTCACGCACCTAGTCTTGTGGCAGGTCATTATGCCTCACCACTCGAAAAACTACCTGGAAGATTTTTACTTAATTGTACATACCATTCTCGTTACATGTGATAACAGTCATCATGATGCTTCGAAGCGTCATCTCCTCCACAAGGAAAATACTCTACGTGGACCATGGGGCGCCATTTCTTACCAAACTAGTGGTGGCTACTGGAATCGCTTCTGTCGCATTCCACAGATTCACGCTGGACTCGATGGATGAGAGCTGGAATGCCTGATTGTACACAGTTCTAATCTCTGCAGCCCTAACATTGCCTTTTGATATAGATCTTGGAACCCATGGGCCCGGAGGCGGGACGTTATTTGTCGAATCACATTCTTGGGGAAGCGAGCCCGCCAATATCAAGACACGCCGGCCGTGGGGGCCTGGAAAACGACAAGGATGTTCGCGCCTAATATGCCCCGCAGAAGCCCAACCCCAAGGTTCACGACAGTCTGACTCTCTTCGCTGCAGAAGAGTTGACCCCATCATGGACATGTCTCAGTCTCCTCGCCATCTTGCCTGGTTGGCACTGTCCTTCCTGTGCGGCATTCTTACACACCACAGCCTGTTCAGACGAGTTGAGCTCGACAGATACCCGTTACAGGTAGCCAGCGCGTTCGTGGCCATCTACTTTGCTCTCGTAAAGTCTCTGGGTTCCTCTCCTTATGGAGATTACAGCTACTCTGCTTCCTTTGCCGTCACTGTAACCTTCATCTCGGGACTAAGTCTCAGCACTCTCGTTCATCGCGCATTATTCCACCCTTTGAAGCGATTCCCCGGCCCCTTTGCCGCCAGACTTTCGAAGTTCTGGGCCACCATTCAAACGGCAGAGGCGCGGGGGCAGTGGTACAAGTTCAGCCGCCAGCTTCATGCAGAGTACGGAGACTACGTCAGGATTGGTACGTCCAAAACACGCTCTAAAACGCCTGATATTCCAAGTATTCACCTATTTCCAGGCCCACGAGATCTTTCCATAACGGATCCAGATGCCATAATTCCGATTCTCGGTCCATCAGCCAAGACGAGCAAAGGCCCGTTCTATGGTTCACTAGAACAGTCTGTTCATACGACGCTAGACAAGGACTTTCACCGCCAGAGACGTCGTGTATGGGACAATGGGTTCAAGGTGAGGGTTTCGCGGGGTATGGGTATATCATCATTTGCTCAGAACTGTACAGGTTGCACTCGAGGGCTTTGCACCTCGAATAGAAGCTATCACAGACGATCTCCTCTCGGTTCTAGCGCGGCACAGCCAAAGCGGTACGCCCGTGCCCTTCAATGAAATGGCCCAACGATTCAGCTTCGATGTCATGTGCGCGCTGGCTTTTGGGAAACCAGGTGGATACTTGAATGGGAAGTCTACCGTGGAGGATGAGTCCATCTTCAAGAGCATTTACGAAAGTTTGGAGATGATTGGCTTGTTCTTGCATACGCCCTGGATGATCAAGATGCTCGAGATCTTCTCCGTCCTCCCAGGACCCATGAAACGGCTGAAGGACTGGTCTTCTGCTAAGGTCCAAGTGCGGAAGCAGGTAATATCTGGCGCACACAGCAGAGTCACTTCCACTTGATCACTGACACATGGCTTCATCAGATGAAAAATCCGCAGGCGGATCTCATGGGCCATCTCATGGCTCACACTCGCAACGACGCGGCTGGCCGCACGCTGCTCGATGCAGAAGCGCGCCTCATCATCGGTGCTGGAAGGTAAATTCCCGCATCCTCCTCCACACTCCTGTTTTACACACACACACGCAAACTCCCCGCTAACCCTTCGATCCGTTCTCTTCCCCCAGCGACACCGCCGCCGGCGCCCTCGCCATCATCTTCGCCTACCTCGCCACGCACCCGGCGCACCTCTCCCGCCTGCGCGCCGAAGTCGCCCCCGCCCTCGCGCCAGGCGGCGCATACACCTGCCTGCGGCCGACGCTGCCCCTCCTCGACGCCACCATCAACGAATGCCTCCGGCTGCACCCGCCCGTGCTGTGGGCGTCGTCGCGCGTCACAGGGCCCTCGGGCCTGCACATTCCCAAAACGACCGAAACCGAACAACTACTACAGTCGCCTGCAGGTACCAGCCTCGCGACGGAGACGAAGACGACGACGACGACGACGACCACATACATCCCTCCCAACACCATCGTCTCCATCCCCCCCTGCGGCATCACGCGCGACCCGCGCAACTTCGTCGACCCGGACGCGTTCCGGCCCGAGCGGTGGACGGAGCAGCAGTCACACCTCATCCGGCGCCGCGAGGCCTTCATCCCCTTCCTCATCGGCCCGTACCAGTGTCCGGGGAAGGGGCTGGCGATGATGGAGCTGCGCAGCGCGGTGGCGCGGACGGTGGCGAGGTTCGACGTCGTGTGGATGGATGGGGAGGGGAGGAGTCTGGCGGGCTGGTTGGATGAGATCAAGGATCATTTTACCATGGGGGTGCCGAGGCTGAGGTTGGGGTTCAAGGAGTTGGGGTCTGGGTTGGAGAAGGAGGGGTGAAGGGGAGAGAGAGTGAGGGTTGGAGGTGGGTGATGGCTGGGGGGCTTTGTTGTTTCGTCTTCACTGCCCTCTTGTCCACTTCCTTTTTTTTTCCCTCTCTTTTCTATGCGAAGGGCTGTGTGGGATTGGTGGGGAGGGAAATGGTATTGCTTGGGTACACATCGTCGAGACTTGTTCAACCGCTGTCTACTATGCATTACTTTATGACAAGTGAGGTTCCATGTCGTAGTGACACTTACTAAGGCGGCAATACGGATGCTCTGTCAAGCGAAGCCATGGCCATCTTGTGGAAATGGTCAAAGCAATTGAGCAGATACCTCTTTGGGAATGAGGGCACTCCGTTTGAATGAAGATCGGAACCCTGCCCGTGTTTCGACTTTGGCCTTACAGGGGTCACTGCCCTTGTGCTGTGTCTGCTCAGGCGATAGGGCCTCGCACGGCCGTTTCACTCCCCTAGGGCTGTCCCCAGAGCAACAGCGCAGCGTTGACGTCAAGGGCTCAACCGACTCGGTGGCTTCCGTGAACGGGAAGGATGCAGTTGGGAACCCGTAAACACTAGGGCCCTCATCATCAGTATCAGCATGATGATGGCTTGCTCCTCCGCCATTTGAGTTGACGCCGGAAAACGGCGCGCTGAACAGCTGCATCAGCAGCTACTTTCCTTGTGAGGCTGTTCCCACACCCATCTCTAGGTTATCGGCGATTCCGGAGCCACACCCAAACCGTTGACTTGTTCATACCTACCACACGCAACACCCCCCCACCCAACCCCCTCCCCCTGGTTAACGCCATGCCAACCGCGGCACGGCGTGCCCCACCCTCCGCTACGGCCCCAAGGATCAGTAAACGGCTCACTATGCCAAACGCGGTCAAGAGCCGATCGGCGGGGAATCCCATCGAGAAACGGAAGGGGCTCCTGGTAGTGTTGGCGACGGCTGACAGGCGGGAAGTGTGGGGAACTAGGCAAGATGCGTAGGTACTGTGTATTGGGATGACCCCGGGTGTTAGTCGTTCTCGCTGTTCTTTTCCTCTTGTCGGAAGGGTGCGTCAAAGGGTGGTCCCGTTCTGGGAAGGCGTAGGGTTTTTGGCTCAGGGTTTGCCCTTGAAACGCTGCCATTTTACGGGAAGGGGGGGTCGGAAGGTTGATCAAAGTGCGGTCCGTCGCGCAGGGTATGGGCAGCTGGACAGTGGTCTTTGCGAAGTGATTGGTGCAGAGATCCCTAGCGGCAGGTAGCGAGCTGTGAAGCCCGGAGTGTGTCTCGACGATACCATAGGAGCATTCTGGATATGCTTATAATTAAGGCAGAAGAGATTTTGGGATGGAGGTTGCCGGCATCCGTGGTGTTCCTGGGAGAGATGAGAGACGGCTTGGAGAGCTTGGCCCCCATTGTGCAACCGCACAACCGTCTTCACAGCGCTCAAACCGCGACAATCGAGGACCAACACAACAGCGATGGCGGCGTCACTCACCGCCGGAAGGAGACAATGTAGGCCCTCTGCCCTCACAAGCCCTCCTTCTCGCAACTAAACCCAAAGCAAGCAGGCGCATGGGGCGAGCGAGACCAAGGTCAAACGTCTGAAAGCTCCATTATCCCAATTGAGAAATGCGGCGCGAGGCCATGAAGAGAGCAGCAAGCCAGCAGCAAGCCAGTGCGTGTACGACGGAGCCGCTGGTGGGGCCCCGTGACTGCGGCCGCAGATGGGCCGCAGCTTGCTTGCTTGCTGGCTGCCCGTCGTGCCCGTCTTGCATCATGCGCAAAACGGAACGCATGCCGCGCGTTGCTTGCTCTTGGCCGAGCTCTTGTATGGAGTGTAGTCATGGCGGTGCCTGCCATGGATTGCTCTGGGCCACACGTGGCGCAGACAGCAACAGACGGCAGCGCAAGAGCTCTGCTGACATCAGTACACAGCCCTGGCGAGGGCGGGAGCGCTGGCGAGAGATCACGCGGGGAGGCAGAGCGGGCTGCGGGCTGATTTGCGCGGGCCTCCGTCTCGTCCATGGCCAAGTCTGACATGCGTGGGGGGGTAGGACTTGGGCGAGGGACGGACGGAGCTCGCGAGTCTGATGGCAGCCATGGCGGCAACGACTTCTGGCTGCTTAGGGCTCGGGGCGAATCCTTTGACACGGCCATTGCCCACAAGCAGCCAAACCCACACGCAAAGCTCCCGCACCCGACCGTTCACCGCCAGCAAACACCCGTGTCACGGCCGCTCAAGCCACACCGCGTTGGAGCGTCAGTAGTCAGCCCTCGCCCGCCGTCCGCGCCACCCGCGCCAACCCAGCCGATCGGCCCTTGTCAGCCCCACGTCGCTCGCGCCGCCCGCGCGAGTCGCTCTGCAACCCACCATTTCCTCGATCCGGTAAACGCCCAACGGCGCCCTGCATCATCGAAGGCTACCCCCCGACATACATGAACTTTCTCCATCCTCCCTCCAAACCACCCCCATCCGCGAAAGCTTGCTGGGATCAAGATCATGGCGACAGCGCAGCCACGAGCATCCGGTCACACCACGTCGGCCCGCCGCCTCGTTACCAAACGCCCGTTGACGAAACCCGGCGGCAAGGGCGGCGCGACGTCATCGTATGGCGGCAGTGGCAGCGTTGATGAGAAGCCCTCGGAAGCACGCGGCTCCCTCATGCTCGTGGCCCCGCCTCTGCCACCGTCCAAGAAGACGGCAGCAGCGGCAGCGGCTACTAAGAAAAGAAGCAGTAAGTATGATCGCCCGTCTCCCTTTCATCTCCCGGTGTCCATGGTGTTTCATCAGATACCGGAAACGGGAAAAAGAAACCTGTGAACGGGCCTTTGAGTGACTGTTACACCCCTGTCAAAGAATCCGCGGCGGGTCAACAACACCGTGTCGACTCCTCGGTTGTGAGGCAGTTCAACTCGCGCCAGGAGCCCTCGCCGTTCCTCGACTCCGTGTACATGGAGCGGAGGGCGAAGGCGTTAAGCGCCATGCGCCAGCGTAGCTCGGCGTAGGTCTGTGATGGATGATAGCATTGTCGGTGGTTGAAGTCGGTAGCCGGACATCACCACTGTAATTTCCAATACTACTTCTACGTCCGGACAAGTGCTCCCAATACACACATGGAAGAGGGCAGGGCATTTGGGATAAACCAAGGGCGGGAAGCCCTGGGTAATTGAATCCAATATCTGTACGCGTTTTGTCCGCATTCAAGACTCGCATTTCCGTTCAGACACTATATTGCACTACCTACGCAAGTAGGATGTATCATCGCCATGAGCTGGATGTGAGGAGGCACAGTTATTTTTGCAACCCGCTGTGCGGGAAACTTTCCTATCATTATACTACAAGACCCACCAGGCGGAGAACCGGCCCTTTTGTGCTGCATTGTCCCCAAAGTACAACAGATTTTGTGTGCTGGTGAAAGAGGAAACTAGAAACGACTGCCATCCTCCCATCAATCGGGCCAAAGTTAGTTATTCCCCATGTCAAACAAAACGCCATAGACGCATGAACGCGTAACCCGCAAGCATCATCCACCACCATCCTGCAAGGCTAAGAGTCTTCTCATCTTACATCATTCGCACCGAACCACCACCACCACGCTCAAGGATCAGCGAGTGTATTACTCAAATTCGTTCTCCCGATCGACCCAGATGTCCTCCAGCTCCGCGAAGCTCATAAAGTGCAGCGGCCGGTGAATGTCGTCGTAGAAGGCCTTGGGCGTGTCCAGCTTGACGTCGAACGGCTTCTTCTCGACCGTGCCGAAGCCGCTGCCCATGAAGCTGTAGTTCCATACGCCTGTCTCGGGCACCAGGAAGTAGCCCCTGATCTTGTCCGACAGCAGCAGCTGGCATTTCTCGCCCATGCTGGTCGAGAAGCCCGCCGGCTGGTCGCTCTGCGTGTCCTTGTTCTCGGCGCCCCACTTGTAGCCGTTGGGCGTGAGCGCCCACGCTGCGAGCGAGACGGAGCCCGGCGTGAACGACACCGTCATCGTCACCGTCTTCTTGTCCCATGACGAATGCGCGTTCATCAACCGCGCGTGCTGCGTCACGTCCATCGGGCTCATGTACGGCAGCTCGTTGCCCGAAACCGTGTGGATGACGCCCAGCGGCTCCATGTTGTTGAGGTACTCGTGCTGCGGCAGCTGGTGCGGCAGCTGCACATCGCGCGTGTTGCCCACCTGCGGGATCATGACGATCGTCTTGACCTCCTTCACGTGCTCGTTGTCTGGCGGCGAATTGCCGTAAAGATAGCCGGCAACCTGCACCCGCAGATCCGCGATGGTGATGAAACGCTTCAGCACATTCTTGGGCATGATGTAAGTGTAGTGGTCATCTTCCCGGATGTCGTCGGAGCTGATGTAGATGTTGTTCGATCTCGTCCGCAGGTTGCTGGTCGCAATGGCTCGAGTACGCCACTCGGTCTTGGAGGCAAAAGTAGCCTGCTCATACTGAGAGGTCGTCGTGACAACAATGTCTTCACCGTGCACGTTCTGAGTCTTCGTCGTGACGGCGGTGAGTTGCTGCTGCTCTTGTTGCGCCTTCTCAATCTCGGCGGCTTGCTGACGCTGCAGAGATGGCGCACTGATCTCCATACCCAAGATGATATCACGAACTTCGCTGCTTGTCAAACTGGACGTGTTGACGTTGTTTTTCTTGCCATAGTCGTTCAAGATCAGATCGCGAAGCGACACTTCCACCTTGATCCAGTCCTCGTCAGACAGCGTGGGCCAGATGTGGTGCTCCTGGGTAATGACCGTCTTATCGGGACGGAGGATGAGCTTGGTCTTGTCTTGATTGACGTGCAGCGCACGCAAAATCAGGATCAGACGCGAGAAAGCCGTGTAGGATGAGATGGTCTTCAGCCACTCGTCGTACAAGTTGAAAAGGACCATCTGCGGCTCCGTCGCCCTAAGGATCATGTCACCAAGCTTCTCAACCTTCATAGCGGCCTGGAAAGGAAGCTGCAGTTCCGAAGCGCGAATGGAGATGTTAGGGAAGTCGAGCAAGTGAACCTCGAGGGGATCGAGAAGACCCTTACGGGTGACGATCAACTGCTTGGGCTGCTCCTCTACGGGCAGCGAACGGATCAAAGCAGCAACTTCTTCTGCCGTCTTCCACTTGGCCAACTGTCCGAGACGCTTTTGGCCGGCCCAGACACTGGTGTGGATAATCTTCAAGAATAGCTGACCAGTGCGAGGGTTGAAAATGAAGATAGCGCCGTTGATTGGCTTGGTCGTCAAGTTGCCTTCGAACGTCTTGTGAATGGTGACACGGTAGACGTTCGTATCGTCGATGAAGAGCTGCACCTGGTTGCTGAAAAGCTCCGAGTAATTCTGAGAGTTGAGGAACTCCTGGTTGCTCTCAGAAGCATACAGCTGCAGACCCTTGCGGATACGCTCGCGCAAAACGTACAGAGCAGGGTTGGCCTTCATGATCTTTGCCATGGCCTGCTGAACGAGCTGCTTAAGACCAGGGAAGTACTGTCCATATGCAGAGTAGAGGTTGTAAGCCAGATCGATACCGATCATGAGACCAGTAGCCGACGGGTAGATGGACATGCTGTCGGTCGTGTAGTCGAGGTACTTGGCACGCACGTAACGCTCAATGTCGTGCGAGTCGTAATCACCGTAACGCAGCTGCACATCGACCCAGAACTTGTTTGTCGTCGTGGCGGTCATTGTGTCCTTGGTATCGTAAAGGAGTGATGGAGGCGAGACACTCCACTTGTGACTGGCGAACAGAAGGATATCGGCACAAGAACTGTTCATCTTGTACGACTTTCTAGGGTGAATAGTCTCCTTCTGCACTGTCTCGATGCCAAGTGCCTCGAGCTCCTGGTCAAAGACCTGACACAAGTCCATCACAACAGACTCGTGGATCTTCTGCCACAAATGGGCACGGAAGATCTGAATGAGGGAGATCTTCAGCGTTGGAATCTTGCCGTGCAGGAAAATGCCCGTCAAGTCGAGTTGGACCTGGAAACCGACGTATACGTTGGCACGGTTGATGGTAGGCGACCACCAAAGCGTGAAACGACGATTGGGAATTTGATTCAGACCGGAACGTTGAGCGTTGGTAAGCTTCTTGAACTTCATGGACTCTGTAAAAATCCGTTAGTAATCTGTAAAGATGCGAGTACGAGAAAAAGTAATGGAAAGGATCCAACAAACCTTCAAAACCGCTAGCGCGTTCCCAGAACAGACCCTCCCAAGAGGGAAAAGCTGTTGCCTTGAACAAGGTGTGTTCCAGAATGGTTTCGACACCACCAAGGGCCTGGATGACATCTGTACGGTAAGCATTGAGGTTCCACAGTTTGCCATCGTGGCGCTGGCTCGTCCACCAGAATGGGTTGCTCTTCATGTGCTGGTAGATCTTGAACTCGGTACGAGAGCGGAATCCCTTGTCGAAGCTAAGGGTGCTACGGTCCTTCTGGAACAGAGTGTTGATACGAGGCAGACCGCGGTCCCAGCTGTCCTCGAGATCCTCAAGCGTTAGACGGCGGTTCTGTTGGTTGGCTTCCATACGCTTCTGCGAATACTCCGTCCACACACGCTGAGAATCAATGAACTCGGCCTCCCACGGGATTATGTAGCGGAAGATGTTCGGGATCAGGGTCTCCTCATCGTGAGACATACCAGCGCGGTAGTGAGTGACGCCGGTATCGGTCTGCTTGGACCAGCGCTTGTCACTGGCGGGAATGAGGATGTGGGATCCAGAAATCATACCAAGGCCACCCAATTCCTTTGGCGTGTAAAACACGGCCGGCGGGAAACGCGAAGGCATCTTGGAGTTGAGACCGATCTTAACACGGGTCTGGATCTTGGTCTCGCACTTCACAATCGTGTCCAGCAAGTTGACAGTCGACGCAGCAGCTTCACGGTAATAAGTGAAGAGGGCAATCAGAGCCGTGTTCCACTTGTTCGCGATCTTCGTGAAGGTTGTCGAACCAGAAGACATCAAAATCTGTCTGATCCGGTTGTTGAACTTCTGAATGTCTTCCTCAGTCACCTGCAAAAACGCATGGGCCGTTCTCTCCTTGGTAGTGTTGTCAACCAGTGACCAGACACTGTCCTTGACAGGGAACTCGTCGCTCTGGTTGCGAATCTTTGGCAGGATGCGGACCTCAAAACCACACATAGAGAAAAGGAGGTTAGGGTTGTCCCTGCTGTAGACACTCGCAAACGTGTCATCCCAATCGATGGTCGTCACAGAACGAGGAAGACGGTTCTTGAGGTCCCAGAACACGGCGCGACCTAGGTTGACGTCGTGACGCATAAGACGCATACGAGAGTCTCGAGGCCAACACTTCTTGTTCTTGTAGCCGATGACGTTTTCGAAGTTGGGATCCGGCTGCTCCGTAAGGAAGCGCTGAATCAGATCACGCGACTCATCAGCATCGAACCTGAAGAACACCCAAATCTTGTCGATGTAGCGGGTGTACAGCCTGATGGGATGCTTGCTCTCGGTGGCCCTGTCTCGGAATTGCAGGAAGTCGTTGGGAGCGCCAGGAGGACCAGCAAGCTCGCTCGCTCTCTGCAGACCGAGCAGTAGCAGATCGAGCATGAGACCGTAGTACTGGAAAACGAAGGCCGAGAATTGGAGACCGCGAATCATGCCGTAACTGTTGGTATGGTTCATGTCCTTGTAGTTCAGCTGGACGTTGTTCTTGGATGTGATGTAATCCGCCAAGTTGTGGTCCATGATGAGACGGAGGAGGCGATTGAGTAGGGTAAGGTCGATCTTCTCGTAGACCTTGGACAGTTTGGTCTCAATCATGACGTTGCACTCGCCCTCCTGGTACTCCCAGACCTTGTCAAGGTTGTTGATTCCTTGAGCCCACTTGTATACCAACAGCGGAGGGACTTCCGAGTCAGAGGGTTTGATCCACGATGGGAACAGGTGGCGCTGATCGGCCTGGTACCAGAGGTACTGGTCAAGGTAGGCATCCGTGATCTTCTCGATGGGTTCGATGTCATAGACCGGATTGATGTCGCTGTAGTTATCATTCA